TAACTCAAACTTCCCCCTCCTCTCACCAGTCGCTGTTCTCCGTGGAGACTCTAAGATCTCCGGCACTGTCACCTTCGAGCAGGCCGACGAGAACACCCCCACCACCATCTCCTGGAACATCACTGGCCACGACGCCAACGCTGAGCGTGGCTTCCACGTTCACCAGTTCGGTGATAACACCAACGGCTGCACCTCCGCTGGCCCTCACTTCAACCCCTTCGGCAAGACCCACGGTGCCCCCGAGGACTCTGAGCGTCACGTCGGTGACCTGGGCAACTTCAAGACCGATGCTGAGGGTAACGCCGTCGGCTCCAAGCAGGACAAGCTTGTGAAGCTCATCGGTGCCGAGAGCGTCCTGGGCGTACGTTTTTTCAAACCCGCACTCACCTATTGATAGCATCAGACTGACATTCGCAATGCAGCGGACCCTGGTCGTCCACGCCGGCACTGATGACCTCGGCAAGGGTGGTAACGAGGAGTCCAAGAAGACCGGTAACGCTGGTCCTCGCCCTGCCTGCGGTAAGTCGTCTCTCTAATGGTTTGTTGTGGACATTTACTCACGTCTCTGCTTTTTGTTGATAGGTGTCATTGGTATCGCCGCTTAAGTGCATTCATAATTGTGTTATGTTGTCAATTTAGGCCTGAAAGGCTTAACCAGAATGGAAATAGTCTGCTACTGTCCGATTGATGTCATGAACCAGATTGGAATGCATGAATGACTTGATGCGAGTAATCCAGACGATTCCCTGTGTTTGGCGACCATGTAGTACTTTTCTTGCAATGTGTCGTAGTGTTGGGAGATGGTAGCCAGAGTCATAACTCCAGCGCTGTCTCGATGCCAGTGCCTCATGTTGCAGTGCTAGGATGAGCACGTTAAGCTGTATCCGAACTAGAAATAGCCTGGAGCATACAATGAAGCTGATTCCTGTGCCTTTGTTCAAGAGGCATCTGTCAATCGGACATGGTCTTTGAGAGACGAAATTCGCCATGGCGATGTGGGGTCTAGAGTTGTTTTGACAGTGCCAATTGCCGGCACTGTGCAGTTCAAGGAGTTGTTCAATAACTTAATCACTGTAAAGGTATAATCCATACTTTTAATCATCTTTTTGATCGATGCACACACAGTGCAGTGCATTGTTGAGTGGCTAGAATGCAGTAGGCGGAAACTCCCCCACAAAGTCAGGTGTTCCGCCTTGACGCGATTGGTCTCGCTCTCCCGCCGGTGCTGTACCTGGCCAGATCAGCAGCATCCGCCGTCGATGCTCTTTGGTCTTCCCGTTCACTCTCCTCTTTCCCTCCGCCTCTCCTGATCTTTCCTTTTCCCCAGAATCCTACCTTTTTTCTTTTCTCTTGTTTGATTGCTTTGCCCTAGGTCCTGTCAATCTGACTGGGTGAAGTCCTTCTACCTTGATTTCTTCTCCTCTTCCCCCGTTACGCCAGCTCTCGCCAGAATGCCTCTGGAAGCTCGTGTGAAATCTGTCCTATCCGGCGACACGGTGGTGCTGTCGCATATCACCAATCCCGGCCAGGAACGCTACCTCAGTCTGGCATATGTCTCAGCGCCCAGGCTGCGCAGAGAAGGCGATGAGGTAAGTCGAATTGTCTCAGAATACGGTGCTCGATCGTCGATCGGATCACCTTTCCTCTTCCGCTGGTTGCCCGCATATGTGTCCTTTGCATTGAGGCAGTGAACTCGGTCTCATTTGAACTTCTATTCGTACCCCATTGCCATACGTTGTGATGTCAAAATTCACTTCAAAATAAGATGCAGCATCATTTGCTAATCTGAATTGATGAATTCCTGCAGCCATACGCTTTCCAGTCCCGCGAATTCCTCCGTGAACTCCTCGTCGGCAAAGTAGTGCAATTCCAAATCCTGTACACCATCCCCACCGGCGCCAAGCGTGACTACGGCACAATCAAACTCCCCACCTTCGAGGTCTCTGTGCCGGATATCAGCGTGCAAGAAGGATGGACTCGTGTTCGTGAAGAGGCTGGTAAGCGCAGCGATGAGTCCGAGGAAACCCTCGCCTACCTCGAGCGGCTGCGTGCTTTGGAAGACCACGCCAGGTCGGAAGGCAAGGGAACCTGGGCTGGCTCCGACAAGGGTCACACTGAAACCAGCTATGAGCTGTCAGACGCCAAGTCCTTGGTTGACGAATGGAAGGACAAGCATCTCGAGGGTATTGTCGAGAAAGTTCTGAACGGTGATCGCTTGGTCCTTCGCTTGCTGCTTTCGCCAGAGGAACATCTGCAGGTCGTCGCTGCCATGGCTGGTGTCCGGGCGCCTGCGGCCAAGCGGGTGACTGCTGACGGCAAGGAGCAGGTAGCCGAGCCGTACGGAGACGAGGCGTTCCAGTTTGTGGAATCCCGTATTCTGCAGCGCAAGGTTCAGGTGTCTCTGCTTGGTGTCACCCCCCAGGGTCAACTGATCGCCAGTGTCCTCCACCCCAACGGAAATGTTGCCAAGTTCTTGCTCGAGGCTGGTTTGGCCCGCTGCCATGATCACCACTCAGCCCTCCTGGGTACTGAGATGGCTGCTTTCCGCCGCGCCGAGAAAGCTGCCAAGGATGCCAGAGTCGGCTTGTTTACCGGTCTCGTCGCGTCCAAGGGTCCTGCAGGCGGGGCCGCTGAGGACTACACCGTCAGCCGTGTGTTGAATGCCGACACTCTGTTCATCAGGAACAAGGCTGGTCAGGAGAAGAAGATCAGCTTGAGCAGTGTCCGACAGCCAAAGCCTTCCGATCCCAAGCAGGCGCCCTTCGCTGCCGATGCTAAGGAGTTCGTTCGCAAGAGGCTCATCGGCAAGCATGTTAAGGTTACTGTCAACGGCAAGAAGCCTGCCACAGAGGGTTACGAGGAGCGAGACGTCGCCACCGTTGTGCAAGGAAACACCAATATTGCTCTTGCGCTGGTCGAGGCGGGTTACGCTTCCGTGATCCGTCACCGCCAGGACGATGACGACCGTTCGCCGGAGTACGACAGCCTGATGCTCGCTGAGGCTGAGGCTCAGTCCGAGGGCAAGGGCATGTGGTCGCCCAAGCCACCCAAGGCCAAGCAGTACCAAGATTACTCCGAGAGCCTCCAGAAGGCCAAGATGGAAGTCTCGATCCTTCAAAGGCAGAAGCGGGTGCCGGCCATTGTCGACTTCGTCAAGTCCGGCTCGCGCTTCACTGTGCTTGTGCCTCGCGAGAACGCCAAGCTCACCCTCGTCCTGTCCGGTATCCGTGCTCCGCGCTCTGCTCGTAACCCCAACGAAGCCGGTGAGCCCTTCGGTCAGGAGGCACATGATCTGGCCAACAGACGCTGCTTGCAGCGTGACGTTGAGATTGACGTCGAGACCATCGACAAGATCGGTGGATTCATTGGTACCCTGTACGTGAACAAGGAGAACTTCACCAAGATTCTGCTCGAGGAGGGTTTCGCTACTGTTCACGCTTACTCCGCTGAGCAGTCCGGTCACGCCACCGAATATTTCGCTGCGGAGCAGAGGGCTAAGGAAGCTCGCAAGGGACTCTGGCACGACTGGGATCCTAGCAAGGATGTCGAAGAGGAGGAAGAGGCGGTCAACAGCAGCAACGGTGCTGAAGTTGAGGATGTTCAGCGCCGCAAGGATTACCGCGATGTGATGGTCACTTATGTCGACCCGACCAACGGTCGCCTCAAGATTCAGCAGATTGGCACCGGTACCTCGGCCCTCACCGAGTTGATGAGTGCCTTCCGCTCTTTCCACATTAACAAGGCCAATGATACTCCCCTGCCTGGACCTCCCAAGGCCGGCGACTTCGTGGCGGCCAAGTTCAGCGAAGATGGGGAATGGTACCGTGCTAAGGTTCGTCGCAACGACCGCGAGAAGCAGCAGGCGGAGGTCTTGTATATCGACTTCGGTAACTCCGAGGTTCTTCCCTGGTCTCGTCTGCGACCCCTGAGCCAGCCTCAGTTCTCTGTTCAGAAACTTCGCCCTCAGGCTGCTGATGCGGTCCTCTCTCTGGTTCAGCTCCCCGGCTCCGAGGACTACCTGCAGGATACTGTGAGCTTCATCGAGGAGCAAGTTTACAACCGTGAGCTTGTGGCCAACGTGGACTACGTCTCTCCCGAAGGCACCTTGCATGTGACCCTTCTAGACCCCGCCGAGTCGAAGAATCTGGATCACAGCATCAACGCGGACATTGTTCGGGAGGGTCTGGCGATGGTCCCGCGGAAGTTGAAGGCTTGGGAGCGCGCTGCTGCTGATACCTTGGCTCACCTTCGTGTGATGGAGGATGAAGCCAAGCAGGAGCGACGCGGTATGTGGGAGTACGGTGACCTGACTGAGGACTAAGCTCGCGGGACTTTTCTTTATTTGGATTGACTGTACAAATATTGCGCAGCTGGTGCTTTTTTTACGTTTGATTCCCACGGGCGACGAACTGTAAGGTCCTGATCGGGCTGTCTAATTCGCCCAAAAACTATTTTGATGTGACCTACTAGGCTAGTCTAGGATACTCCCTCACTTTTTTAAACTCTGGTTGAAGGATACCAAAAAGGAGAAATCAAAACTGATGACGTTCTTGTTTGTTTCACGGGCGATAACGATATTCTCTGCAGTCTGCATAAGTTGGACCCTGGGTGCATAGATGACATAACCCGGCAATTGTGAGTCTTCCGGGCATCCGAAACTTTGTTTTGCGGTGATGGAGAGAGTCCACTGCACAGCAAGACAAATCTGTTGTTCAGCCCAACCCGCTGGTCTGGTTACTCCAATTCGCTCCTTCGTCGGCGACTTTGTTTTGTGTGTTGGGCTATAATTCTCGCAGGCGTGTTCAATTGCTCTTGGTATCGCAATCATTTCTCTACGCGCCGGGTTTAAGGCAAACCCGCGAAGATCCGATCGATCCCCGAGCGCAGCTCTCGTAAAGACGACCCACTCTAGATCCTATAGCCTTGTTTCATTATTTCAACATTCTTTCTCTATCTTACCAACTATCCACCCCTGACGAAACCAATACTTACATTTAAAAATGCCTTTCTGGGGAAGCAAATCGACGCCGACCAAGGCGGAGAGCGACGCCAGCTCGAATGACGCAACCGATCCTAAGAACGACCCGGTCGCTGCGGCATCGCAGGCGGCGGGCACGGCCTGGCTCGCGGGCCATCTTCACCACCTGACGGAAGACCAGGAGCAGAAGCTGGAAGAGTTCAAGAAGCTTTGCGAGCAAAATGGATACTATAGGCCGGAGCGGGATGGCGAGAAGGCTAGTCACGCCGATGCGACGATGCTGTATGTATTCGCCTTCTACCCTCTCCCCCCTTATACGCACCCTTTGCCACAACGGCAGACAAGAAAGACACTGACATCGGGACCTCGGTTTATAGGCGCTTCCTTCGCGCACGCAAGTTCGACATCGATGGTGCTTGGGGACAGTTCAAGGATACCGAGGATTGGCGCCGCGAGAACGCCATTGAGTCGTTGTATGAGAACATCGAGGTGGATGCATATGAAGCTGCTCGGCGGATGGTTCGTTATCTCTCCAATGGTTGAAAGCGTGTTGAAAGTGAATATGGTAGCTGACAGTGGTCTGCTCACTATAGTATCCCCAATGGACCGGCCGTCGTGACCGTCGCGGTATCCCTGTCTATGTGTTCGAGATCCAGCATTTGAACAACAAGAATATGGCCGCGTACAAATCTACCCTCTCCACTGAGACCCAACAGTCTTCGAAGGTTCCCGAACGGTTGCTACGTCTCTTCGCCCTTTACGAGAACCTCCTTCGCTTTGTCATGCCCTTGTGCTCGCAGCTGTCTCGCCCCAATCCGGAGACGCCCATCACTTCGTCCAACAACATCGTCGATGTCAGCGGAGTAGGATTGAAGCAATTCTGGGACCTTAAGGGTCACATGCAAGATGCCAGTGTGTTGGCGACCGCTCATTATCCTGAGACTCTAGACCGGATCTTCGTGAGTTGTTCTCTGCATAGCATATGGAGACGCATTGCTAATATGAAGTCAATGTAGATCATCGGCGCCCCTTCTTTCTTCCCCACTGTCTGGGGCTGGATCAAGCGCTGGTTTGACCCGGTCACCACGTCCAAGATCTTCATTCTCTCGGCTGCAGAGGTGAAGCCGACCCTGACGAATTTCATGGATCCCTCCAGCATCCCCAAGCAATATGGTGGCGACTTGGACTGGAAATGGGGCGACATGCCCAATCTCGATGAAGAGGCCCGCCAGGTCGTCGGCGTCCTCGAAACTCCAGCCGCTGAGGGCGAAACCAAGCCCAGCTTCATCAAGGGCCCCGTTCTGTTCAACGGCGACACCATCGAGGTCCTCGGCAAGGTCAATGGCGAGAGTCGGAAATCCACCCTCCCTGCGGGTACCCTCGCGCAGCAAGGCGAGCCCGCTGCTATCCCGGTTGAAAAGGCTGCCGCGCAAGAGACTTCTGACGCAGCCACTGAGGACGAGAAGGTGGCTGCCGTGCAAGAAGACGCCGCCGCCCTCAAGTCAGAGGCTGAGACGGCCACGAACACCGTTGCCGCTTGAGTTTATCCCATTTGACCTATTTCTCTCGTTCCGACTATAATATCCTTCTTTCTCAGCCAATTTTCTTCGCTTCATCTTTCATCAAGACATTCATCAACACACTAATAAAGCACCATATGAGGCGTCATTCGGATCGAATTGGATAATTTCATAGAAGATTTCTGCGCTGCATTTCATAAACCGGGCTTGTTTGAAGAGACGACCAGTACAATTTAAGTTCATCAAACGGGCTAACGATTGATCAGAGCCTGGTCTGACCTGACTCAGACCGATTGCTCAGTCTACATCTGGCACTTCTCTATTTCTCCATCAGTCCATACTCTAGCGGCTGGGGTCTTTGCCTGGTATATATTGGCAAACTTATACTTCGTTATAACATTTCTGTTTAAGATGCTTTGAGAACTGAGATACAGACATTTATTCTCATCTGGGTTTATCTCGGATTCAGTGTTGCGGTTTCTGTCGTTAGGCTTCGCTTCGGGATATTTGCCAGATAATTACTGATCCAGAGAGATAATACAATGGTTAAAGGATCAGAGGTAGAACTGTGAATGCTCAAACCCACTCAGTAGGTGTCTTGTTTCCAATGAGCCGTAGCCGGTAATGCATGGGGATCGCAAGAGCGAGGGCTAGACTAGCCGCAAAGGTCAGTCGGCCATCACCGCCCGCAGCTCATCCTCCCCGGATAGCGTCACCCACCTGCTATTTATTACTGCATAACAACAACACCAGCCGCCTGTAACCCCTCAATGACCGCCCAAGAGTCCCGGTCATAACCATGTGGCTACAGGCGACGCTCCTCTTGCTCGCCTCGTGCGTTCCCTCCAGCTCGGCCATCTATATCGATGAGGTCGGCCATATCGATTACCACCACGCGCTTCTCGGCCTTCCCACCTCCCAATCGACCTTCTTCCTCAAACCCTCCGCCTCGTCCAATGCTTCCCTCCTCTATACCCTCTCTGAGGACTCTCTCCTCGGCGCCGTGAATCCCAAAGATGGATCTCTGGTTTGGAGACAGAACCTCTCGCAACCCGCCCTCCCCGCCGACCAGGGCGGCGTTTCCGGTCTCCTACGAGCCTCCGAAGGAACAAACGCTGTGGTCGGTGCGTTGGGGGACTATGTCTCCTCATGGACTGCTCTCGATGGAAAATTGATTTGGGAAAAGTGGTTTGCGGATGAGAAGATAGCGGATCTCGAGCTTCTGGAGCTTGAAGATGCCAGTGCCGCGCCGTCAGCTAAAGACACTGTGGCGCTATTCAGTGGAAAGGCCGGTGTCGTTCGCAGACTCGATGGTAATACAGGCCAGGTCAAGTGGGAATACAAGGATGAAAGGTTCGATTTCAAACCCTGCGTTCCCTCTCCCCTAAAAATGCTGGGTGGTTGCTGTTGCTGACTGCTAGAGCTCTCATGATAGTGGAGACATCCCGCTGCAGCTGTCGTCCTCGTCCACGGAAGTTTTCTACATCGCCCTGCAAGCATCGGCGCGGAAGGGCTATCGGATCCGCGTGGTTTCGCTGGATCCCCTGACTGGCCTTCATACCCAGCAGCAAATCCTGAGCTCGGAGAACGAGGTGTCCGGTCCCCAGTCCGTTGTCTTCGTCGGCGCCAACACGGCCGCGCCTGTGATCGTGTGGTCTGACGCCGCGCACAAGACGCTGAAGGTCAACATCATTGGCACTAAGCAGGTGCAATCCTTCGATATTGAGAACACAAGCGGCGAGAGTATCCGGTCGATCGCCGTCCACACCCCGAAGAAGCTGGAATCGCTGCCCCATTACCTGGTGCACTACGAGACAGACTCGGCCACTTGGGCGGAGGTATACCACGTTGATCTGAAGACTTCTGCCATTTCCAGGGCGTATGAGCTGCCCCGGTTGCAGGGATGGTCTGTCTTCTCCACGAGCAACAAGGACGCCAACGTCTACTTCACCCGCATCACGCAGTCGGAGACTACCGTCGTTTCTTCGGTATCGCATGGAATCCTGGGAAGATGGCCTCACCAGCCGCCTCCGCTGGAAGAGGCGGTGCACGCCGTCTCGGAAGTTGTGACCAAGGGTGATTCGGTTGCCGTTCGGTCCGCAACTGCTCTCGTCTCCGGGGACTGGCAGTTGATCCGCGGCGGTCAGGTCGAATGGACGAGGTACGAGGCCTTGGCGGGCGCCTTGGCTGCTTCGTGGGTTGAGACGGACGGCTCCGAGGACTTAGTTCATCAGCTCGAAGTCGAAGGCCATGAGAGCGTCTACAAGGCTTACATCCACCGCGTCAAGCGCCATGCTAGAGACCTCCAGCATCTCCCTGAGTGGCTCAAGGACCTCCCGAAGCGCATTGTGACCAGCATTCTCACTGACGAGGTCTCTAACCTTGACAGCTTTGGGATCTCTAAGCCTGTCATCGTTGCCGCGAAGAACGGTCGGGTCTATGCGTTGGATGCCGGGAACCATGGTGCCGTGTCTTGGGCTGTGAAGGCTGCCGAGAAGGACTCGTGGGATGTGAAGGCGATCGTGGCTCAACCAGGATCCGCCACTATCTACGCCGATGATGGTAGCTCTGTCACTCTGGATGTCACGTCTGGCGCGATCCTCGCTCGTACCTCTGGCACCACTACCAAGGTCCGCGCCGTTGCCGTCATTGACGATGGCTCTGCTCCAGTCACTATCGGCATTCGTGAGGATGGTACCCCGTTGGAATCCCTCGACTTTCCTGGGTTCTTTGTCACCCAGAGTAACGACGGCCGAGTGTTGGGATGGGCCGCTAGGGACAACAAGACCCCCGTCTGGCAGTTCCTCCCTCCCCATGGAGAGAAGATCGTGTATGCTACTGCACGCCCCGCTCACGACCCTGTGGCGTCGATCGGTAAGGTTCTGGGTAACCGCTCTGTTCTCTACAAGTACCTGAACCCCAACCTCGCCCTCATCACCACCGTCGGCGAGAACAGGGCGACTTTCTACCTCCTCGATGCTGTCTCTGGCCGCGTCCTGCACACTTCCGTCCAGAAGGGTGTTGACACCACGCAACCGATTGCCTCCACCATCTCCGAGAACTGGTTCGCGTACTCGTTCTACGCGGACGTCATCTCCCCCTCCACATCCAAGGGCTACCAGCTCGTGATCTCGGAACTCTACGAGTCGCCAGTCCCCAACGACCGCGGGCCCCTCGACGCCGCCGCCAACTATTCCAGCCTTGCCTCCCTCCCCTCTCCGCACATCATCTCCCAGTCCTTCGTCATTCCCGAGCCCATCTCGCACATGACTGTGACTCAAACCCGCCAGGGCATCACCACCCGCAACCTCCTCTGCACCCTGCCCCACTCGAACGCGATCATCGGCATCCCGCGCCCCGTCCTCGACCCCCGCCGTCCCGTCGACCGCGACCCCACTTCCACCGAAGCCGAAGAGGGCTTGTTCAAGTACAACCCCTTCCTCGAGTTCGAAGGACGGTGGTACCTGACCCACTCGCGCAACGTCGCCGGCATCAAGAAGGTGCTGTCCAGCCCGACGCTGCTCGAGAGCACGAGCCTGATCTTCGCCTTCGGCGGGGATATCTTCGCCACCCGCGCGACGCCGAGTCAGGCGTTCGACGTGCTAGGCAAGGGATTCTCCAAGCTGCAGTTGGTTCTCACCATCCTAGCCTTGAGTGCCGGTGTAACAATACTGGCGCCTATGGTATGTTCTTTCTCTTTTTTTTTCCTTTGCCCCAGGATATGTAAGCTAACCTTTTATTTTCTTTGGTGTAGGTCCGCAGGAAACAAATCAATATGATCTGGAAGGCGTCGTCGTAGAGTGCGGAGCTAGCTGCGGGAGCTTGGCTTGGTGTGGATTGAAAGGTTCGATTTTGTGAGAAGTATAGTTGAGTGACGATGAGATAGATATATATGATTAATTCAGTTTTTGATGAGAAAGAAAAAGTGGTTTTTGGCTGAGTTGCTGTTGCTGTTGGTGTAGTAGTTCTGTTAAGAGTGGTGGGTTTTGCTGAGCACATGGTTGTACACTCCGTGTTGGTTCATGGTATGCGTTGCAATGACAGTCGAGGTGCTAGAGACAGAGCTGGTTGGTTACAGGTTACTCTACTTACACTGCAATTGTTGCTTGGCCTTCCAACATATCAATTGTCACATGGCTGTGAGACAGCTAATGAAAGTTATCAATAACGCGTCGACATGGATGAACCATAACCTACAAGTACCGTCTCGTAAGGATACTGTTAACAGAAAGAAGTAACCTACACTCAACACTCGATGAAAAACGGAATACCGATATCAATAGAAGTTCCTCTACCTCGACTGGGCCTCAAGAACATACCCGCTCCCCGGTACCCAATCTCCCTCCACCCACGAGCCACCTCGATACCTCTATACCAGTCTCGGTGAACTAATCACTACCATTCGACGAGCTAGAACTCGAACTCGAACTCGAACTCGACGAGCTCGACGAACTCGACTCCGAGCAGCTTCGATGCCGCCCACCGCGACGGTGCTTCTTCGTCTTCATCCTTTTGCGTCTGCAGAGAAGTGTCAGCGTACGCCCGAGGCCGATCCCCAGATCCTCAGAGAGGGATAGAGATAAGAACCTACATCTTACTCGCGAACTTCATCCCCGCCGCCCCGGCCAACGCCCCTCCCGCCGTGCCGAGAAACCCACCCCCGAACTTGCGGCCCAGAATCCCACCGGCTGCTGCACCGGTGACGGTGCTTGCTAGTCCTTTTTCGGTTGTTGGGGCTGGGCCTGTAGCTGAGGGGTTTGAAGGGGCTGGTGGTGGTGGAGGAGGAGGAGGAGGAGGGGGAGGTGGACACCCCTGCGGAGCGTAATACGAAGCGCTTTCGCCTTGGAGCATTTGCAATTGGGGTTGCGAGGGATGGGTATACGGTGCGTTGTTGTCCCGATACTCTGTGTAGGGCGTGTTGGGCTCGGAGTAGGCGGTTACTTGGCCTCCGGTCATGGTGAGAGGGATATTTGCTCGGTGGATGTATGGGGAGTTGTTATTGGGGTAAGGGGGGTTGGATTGCGGGGTGTAGGTATGCTGGATCGGGGGGTTCAGCATACTGGGCTGCCTTTTTTTGGTGTGCGTGCTATGGGGGTTTGGCTACTTACTGCGGGCTGTTGCTGGTATTGCTGGTCAGGTTGGCTCTGTCCTGGGAAATTATATCCTGCATGGTTTTGCGGGTCGGAGGCGCTGGTTTGCTGGCTGTAGTAATTGGGTTGGGGTTGGGCGTAGTAATTGCTGTAGTGGGGGTTGGACATAATGATGGTGTTGGTTTGGTTGTTGGGGGTTGGATGGGTGTTCCGTGTGTGGGAGGGGAGTTGCAATGTTGGTGGTATTGGTTGTAGTATATCTTGTGGTAGTATCGGGATGACTAGCTGTCAGGCAGTGTTAGTATTTGGGGAGATGGTGGAAGGTAGGAGGATGGGTAGCGGTTGCCCTGTTTTGACTGAGCAGCTTGCCCCTGTATATGCAGTCCGCGTATGACATAGTGTTGTCCGGATGAAAGGCATCATTGATACCAGTGATGGGTTGCGGTAGCTGACCAACAGGCGTGGCAGGGGAGTGTAAATTGCTGACGAGACTAAGATTTTCTTCCACTTTTGTTCAAAGGAATTTTGGGCATGTACGTCGAGAGTGGTTGTAGTCATTCACACTGCAGGGTCATGTTATGTCGAATAGACGAACCTTCTGTCAGGGTCGTTCTCGATGCTCTAGGCTTTACTTCCTGCCAGATGGTGGGCTATGCTGCCTCTAGTAGCTTGTGTATATGCACAGACAATATCCTGGCTGTGAACCAGATAGTCTTGAGCGAAAAGTGAAGATATTGACATAGAGGGGTGAGGAGAAAGCATATCTACATAGATAGAACCTGCGACACGATGATGGATATGAAGACACATTGATGATTGAGGAACGACAAGCTTCGCTTCGATAACAAAGAACCAGCCCGTTTTTGAAGTAGATCTCGAAGTAGTAGCCATGTCTCTCGAAATGGGTATTAGGCAGCCAGTGAATGAGAGCCAGTTTGCATCGTATGTAGCTGAAGCCAGCCCAGCCAACATCTGCCTCTTTCTCTTCTCCCTCTTTCTCTTCTTCTTCCTCTTTCCCTTCCTTCTCTTCCACTTCATACCCCATCTATGTTCCTACCATGATGCTAATTGTGATTACCGTCACAACGATCATCGTCTTTTTCATCGTCACCTTCATAGGTAAGCGTCTCTCTTACTGTATGGTGTGAGACACAAGACTAACCACTTCTACTAGTGAGTACAGTTTACCTCAACCTGTCACTTGATCCTATGCCCTGAATACAGGGTGAACCTCATCCAGATTTGTCTTGAAAACTTCACATACAGGCTGTCTAACTTATAAACCTAGACCAAGAACTTCAGAAACGCACCCACCGAATCTGATACCCTGAATCCTGTACCCCAAGATGCCACCCCGCCGTAACCCCTTCATGATACTTCAGTAAGTGCTCCATTTAGAAAGTATAGCTAGATCAGCAGTGCTGGATATTGATGAGGCACGCAGGCTCATCGAACTCAAGGCAGTCGTCGAGGCCATGCTGTCCGATCTTGAAGCCGATTGGGCACGCGGACATCGCAGCAGGACCGATCTTGAGGAAATGCACAGCTTCAGAAATCTCCTGGCGCACATTTGTCGTGAAATAGAGGTGCGGCAGAGAACGGGCCCTGGACTTCCCAAGCTCTAGTGTGGTGTTTACCCGGAGATCATGGCATTTATCAGGGGTGGTGGCCCGGGTTCCTCTATTGCTGGTGTTGTTGGGTGGTCTGGATGCTTTGCATGTTGGCTGGATCTGTGGCTTTTACACTATGAGACTCATCTAGAAATGGAATATGTTGCTGTCTAAGTGTACTGGACTGAGTGATGTTGGTTAACGTACATCTCTGGGATGATGAGGTCTTGCGTTTATATCTATTTTACTTTCTTGCTGGAAGGTAGGGGTATATTCTCGTGTAGGCTGGCAGTAAGTTGTGCTCAGATTCCCAATGAGCTTCGAGACTCTATTGACTTCACCGAACCTGAAATCCTACTGTTGTAAGTGAGCGGTAGTAGTATCCGCACGGCAGTGAATTGAGACATTTCATTGTAAAACATGATCAGGCACGTTGTTCACTGAGGCTGGGGATAAGTGTAAACAGACCACTGCCTAGAAGGTGAATAACACGTATGTTTCAAGCAACTCCTTGTGAAGGACAAAACTGCCTACAACCATGAATCCAGCTAGACCTTACCTTCCACATCTCGAGTCTCTCACCCCCATCACCATCCTTTCCATCACCACCTCTCCAACCCGGACCCCGCTGCATCGTCAACATTTCAAACGTCATGACAAACTCCAGTAAGTCCCCCTCTTGCTGCACCAAGTAGGAAAATGAACTAAAACTCAATCCCTATGTCCCCAGACAGCGTAAGCACACACCTAGTCCGGCAACCACCTCGAGCCTCAACAGCCAAACCCATCATCCCAACCAAGACCAAGACCAACACACGCTAACACATCCAGCAGAAGAAACCCCCCAAGTCCTCCGGTTCCGGGCTCGGGCCTTCACCGACCGGAGTCCAGAAACCATCTGGGTGGAACTCGTCGCACCCCCAACGCAAACGCCAACTTCGTTCTCCTTCTTTCCGCATAGTGGACCGCGAAATGAAGACAGAAAATAGCCATAGCCACCAGAATTCCTACGACCCCCTCGCTCCGTCTCAGTCTGCAGTTCCTCCGTCTGCTACAACTAAGACTACTGCCCCCCAACCAGTGGCTCTTCACCCTACCGTATCGGTACCTGTTACACCTCCACCCTGGTCTCAGCCCCTTTCCGCAGCCAGCCCTTCGAAACAGAAGACCAAGGTATGGAACAAACACCCAGCCGGCAGTGAGGCTCTCTGCAGATTGCTGATATATCGGTTTCCCCCAGGACCTGAGTCCGGCTGTGCCTACGCACCCGGCTACGGCGACGGAGTTGATCAGAGCCGACGAGCGCCTCAAGGTAAGTTTGATAATCACCTTGCCCTGGTATGGAAGGCCCTGAGATCAACACCGACGAAGAAAAAAAACTTAGATGCGCGAAGAGCTTCTAGACCGTGGCTACAACGTGCCGAACGATCTATTCCAGGAGCAGCAGCAGCGGCAGCGACACCAGGGAAAGAAGACAGAAAATGAAGATGAGAACGACGAGGAGGAGAGAGAACCGCACAACCTCACCCCGGGCCAGAAGCTGCGGCGCGCCGAGCTGTCCATCGATATCGAGGAAGAGAAAGGGCGGCTGAAGTCGTGCCAAACCGCGGCCGAGGCGGCGAAGGCGGCTTTAGTGGCTGCCGAAAAGGCGTTCCGGAAGGCCAAGGACCATCACCGGGTCTGCGCGAAAGAGCTGCGGCAAGCGAGAGGCCGGGTGGACAAATTGTCGAAGATGTACCGGGCTGTCTAGGGCTGGGTTGGTGATTGCTCCCTCGCTTGAGCATTGCTTGGGGCATTTATGCGGGCTTTTTTCTGGTTCATTCTCTTGTTCTTTTGAGCCTTGGTTCTGTCTGTGAGCAGAAGTTCGACATGATTCTTTATTTCTTCCAGAAGGTCGTATATACAGAGCGAGCTTCCTACTAGTCTCCCCTGAAGAGGGCACTATGCCGGTTCATCTCCCCCTCGGATTCATGCCCGTGAACAGCAGTCGTCACCTCCGTCGTGATCTCCCACTGGATCTCTTTCACAATCCGCACGTTGCCGTTCTCGGCGAGTTCGATCTCGTCCTGCAACTGGGTGAGTCCTTCTTTCCGTCGTGCCCGCGTGCTTTCCCGGGTATAATTGTAGGTGTAGTTCTGCATGTAGCGACGCGCGAGACTGCTATGCTCGCCGATCAGGCGGGGCGCATAACGACGGAGGAGATGACGAATGAACGGTAAGCAGGGGCAGATGATGATGAAGTTGGCTTCGATATTACTATATATTGCTGGGAGGTTAGCGATGGATCCGACTTGGTCAAGACATCGTGGGAGGGATTGAGCTTACATCCACAAGTCCGGCCAGCCGATGCTATAGGTCGGATCGCTAGAGTTAAGGAAAGGGATAAGGGTTATCAAACGAATGACCCCGGTCACCAAGGTTCTGCCAATTGGGTCAGTTTGTCGTCTCTCAAAACCTAGGAAATGGCATCAGAATGAAATGACTCACGCGCAACCAACCATGAACATGAAGAGCAACCCTATCTTCTGTATCGTTGGCATGTTCAAACCTATGACTGTGGGGACTGGAAATAGAATCAATGCAACGTCTGTGATGATATTCAACACTGCGGTGGCGACGTAAAGTGCGTACTGGTCGATGCAGTAGCCCGTGAGTCCTGGACTCCATGCCTTCTGGATGGGGTGACAGCCGAAAATGAATGCGAAGATCAGGGCTACGCTGTATCTGCTGACGATGAAAGCGAGAGTGGATAACGCCCATTGCTGGTAGCGTTCTTGACATAGGATGCGGTAGTAAAGAATGATCAGGCTTATCTTAGCGAGTGCAAGCGCTGGGACGTAGATGATGGCTGCTGTGAGGACGACCTGCGTGGTGGTATGAGATAGCTGTGGGGGTCCATAGAGGGGCGAATAGTAACCTTGATGTATGATTCATATATTGCTGGAGAAAGATTCCAGATGTGAAGGCCCATGCCTCCGTGACGGTAGCCGTCTGTGGAAAGAGATTGTTGATTAGAGAGGGGACGGACACTGGGTTGGTACGATGGTAGACGTACAAAGTGAGCATGCCTGAGTTCCTAAGGCGAACAGCTGTATTTGGTGCCAGATTAGCAGAAGGCATTGCTTTGCATTGTGATGCGTTTGCCTACCCAGGCCAGAATGATCGATCCTGTTTATAGTCAGTCTCCATCCAACCCACTCGGCTCACCACCAAGACATACCGTCGTCCCATCCGAACTTGTGCAGCAACTGTGCCTTAGTAAATACTCGCACAGCGAGACAGCTTGTACTCAGGGTCAGACCGACGGCGATAATCGCCACATTGGCCCTGTATAAGTGAGGATTGGAGTAGTCGAAGTCGTACGTCTGTCCTGGCGGAGGCTCAGCCGCTGTGACATTGGCCATATTGCGTATGTTGGACAGATCCCGGCTATCATTCACTACTCGGTGTCATGCTGTTCTCCGAATTGCTGACACTGTGGGACGATGGACATTGCCTCAAAATCGAGCACGCTTCCAGCCTGTCATGGTGGCACAGCCTGGATAAATGGTATAAGTCTCGAGACGGGAAAAAAGGAACGCGTTGCTTCGAATCCTTGAACCTGCGACTAGTCGCTCCTTTCGTTGCGAATGCAGATCTAAGGATTTAGTTGGCCAGGGATATGATCGGGCTTTGAAGCAGGTCCGAAATCGGGTCTTCCGGGTATTTCTGAGCGACCGACTAATGACCGTAGCTCGTCTAGGGTAACAGACACAGGGGGAGCCTTAGATCGAGACAAGCTCCACCCTGGTGCTAGGATCATATGGCGCCAGAATAGATGGAGGTGGAGCGGATCTGGAGACAGCACGAGCCGCCGTTGATGGACGATCCCGCTTAGCGGCCATAGTCTCTTTTAGTCCATGACACCAGACAGGGATCTCGACATTTAGGAGACTTAGGAGATGTCTCGCCTTTTTCTCTTACTTCATCGCTTCTACACATTCATTTGTGTCTTTATTGTTGAGAGAAAGATCTCCGAGGCTAAATCCCCGTTTCTCTTTGGAGTATTATTCCCGATTCCGCACATTGAAAGAAGTCAAAGCTAATATCATGTCTTTAACCAGATCACCTTGTCATCTAACAATGAGACAACCTTCAAGACACTGTCTTCGCATCATCGGGCTGGTATCATACTGAGCAGATTGATACCAATAACCGTGACCGGGGCTGGACGACACCTCTCTGTGCCTCCTCCCAGTTGTGACCGGTCACATTAGCCCTTCGCTCTCCTGGCCCATTCCTTGTTGCTTTACGTTGCCTCCGCCTTAAACTCCACATTCGAAACCAATTCACAAGCTTATTGCGGTACTCCATCCGAGGAGCCAGTACCCACTAAAGCCACCCCGGGAGTCCCACTTGGGGGCTTACGGACAGGCGGCCCGCGGATTGAGAGACCACAAGCCAGCCATCCATTGTTACGAATTGCGAGATCAGACTTTCTGGCACAGTCTCCCATCAGGCCTGACAACCAGGCCGGGATGTTTGGTCTTTCAACTAAAGCTCTCACAAATTAATGATCTCTCGCTTGGGCAAGAAATCCCGCATTTCATCCAAGAGGCTCCACCGACTCTGCTGCTTGCTCAGTCTGTTGTGCACCATTCCTGCTCCATCCATCTACCTACTATTGGCGGCTTGCATCGATCGGCATGTTACTACAAGCACTGATCGGGAGTGCTCCTGGCCTACAGAGTACCTAACCTTCGTGCTCCGCACAATGAAATTGCAATCAAACCTTAGCGCATACCTCGTCGTGGCTAGTCCTAGCATCGTACCACTCGACCTCATACAGAATAGGTGCTTGCTCGGAGTAGCTCCTCAAATGGCCATGGAAGCCGATTGCTATCGCAGCCGAACAATAGCCGGCAGGCTTGTGTTCAACTATAAGAGGCAGTGAGCCGCTAAGAGGGCGAGAGCGAGAATCGTCAAGCGACTGTCAATCGAGATTCACAATGAAGGCCTCTACCGCATTAGCACCCCTTCTCGGCTTCTTACCCGAAGCCTCTGGGTCAAATACCACCGCCTGTGTAAGTTGTCTAACAATTGGTACATCAAAGCGCAAGCACAGCTAATGCTCAGGCTTCCCAGTGTTCCGCACTTCAAGCCACCTCCCTCCGGGACCATGTTACCTTCCCCAACAGTGTGGCCTACAATGAGTCCGTGACATCTTATTTCGCTGTGAATGCTCAGCTACGCCCCTCGTGCATTGTCCAGCCACACACCGCAGATGATGTTTCGCTTGCCGTCTCGACTCTGGTGCAGGCAGGTGAATCGCAATGCAAGTTTGCAGTGCGCAGTGGCGGCCACACTACGTGGGCCGGTGCAGCAGACATCGAGCAGGGTGTCACCATTGACCTCTCGATGATGAACAGCACGACATACCATGCAGACAAGGGCGTGGCATCCATCCTGCCCGGCTCACGGTGGCAGGCAGTATACAAGGCCCTTGATCCTTACGGAGTGACCGTGCCCGGTGGCCGTGGCGGACCCGTGGGCGTCGGTGGATTCCTGATCGGAGGTATGTACATGCAAGCTACCCACCCACACCCATCTAGCAAGCCACATCTAACTTCACATCCAAAGGTGGAAACACCTTCTACACGGCGCGCGTGGGCTTCGCATGCGACAACGTCGAGAACTTCGAGGTGGTTCTCGCGAACGGCTCAATCGTCGATGCCAACCGAACGAGCAACCCTGATCTGTACAAGGCCCTGAAGGGCGGGTCGATCAACTTCGGCATCGTCACCAAGTACGACCTCAAGACCCTTCCTCACGATGGACTGTGGGGCGGCTTGGTGGTGTACGACAACTCCACGACCGAGCAGCAGATCTCCGCCGCCGTGAACTTCGTAGACAACATCCACAACGACCCCTACGCGTCGTGGATCGGTATGTGGGAGTACAGCTCGACGACGGGACAGAACATCATCGCCGATGCGCTGGAATACACGAAGCCCGTCGCGTATCCGGCTGCTTTCGACGAGTTTGTTGTCATCAAGAACACGACCGACACGATGCGATTCGCCACCATCTACAACCTCACCCAAGAACTGGTCCAGGCGGAGGGATATCGGTAAGCTCCCCCTCCCCCCCCCCCCCCCCTCTTCCCCAGTCACAAAGAAAACGTGTCCCTGACAGAATCCAGCGATATCTTCACAACCGGCACCTACCGCAACGACGCTGAAGTCCTCCGCAAGGCTATCGCGCTGCACAACGAGAACATCGAGAAGGCCAAGGCCGAGGCCCAAAGCGAGTCCTGGTCCATGGACACCATCGTCCAGCCCTGGCCGAAGCTGTTCTGGGAGCACACCGCGGCCCAGGGCGGCAACGTACTTGGTCTGGAGCGGTTCGATGAGAACCTCGTCCGTAAGCAACCCCTCCCCTAACCCCCCAAGTCCGAGCCCCCACCAAAAGACCCTCCACAAATTACTAAAAGAGAAATCGAGCAGAGGTCCTCTATGACTACTCCTGGGACGACGCAAGAGACGACGCGCTCTTCACGCGCCTGGGCCGCGCCGCGCTGACCGACCTCGACGCCCACGCCCAGTCGATCGGCGCGGCCAACGAGTACATCTACCTCAACTACGCGGACCAGTCCCAGAGCCCGCTGAGCGGGTACGGCGAGGAGAACGTCCAGTTCATCGTCCAGGTGGCCAAGAAGTATGACCCTCACGGCGTCTTCCAGACCCAGGTCCCCGGTGGATTCAAGGTCAGTGAGGTGGTGGTCTGAGCGGGACAGTGCAGCACATGATTCTACCGCCCGGCTCCTTCACAAACTGTAATATGTAACAGAAGAAAAAAGTGATTCTGTTATTAAGCTTTGAGCAAACACAAGTGTACAACGCGATCAACAAAGCAGAATGCAGAATTTAGAATGTATATAGAGCTAGCTCCAGAAAGAAAGACGCGGGCCGGGGAGAAGGGGGGGGGGGGGGGGGGGGGGCATACAAATCAACCCCACCTCAGAGACTTTGACCAAAGATCCATCATTCGCTCCCCCGAGTGAGTATCTGTAGCTGTAGTACGAAGTACTGTACCAAGTGATGCGCAAGGTAGGATAGGGTAAAAGCGACAAGAAAAAGGCCTAGGGGTGGAAAGCCAAGGACCGCAAGCTGACTATCTATGCCTACCAGTAGTCACCCGGGTGCAGTGAGTAACTTACGGTTAGCACTAAGAGTCAGTACCCGGCCCGAACGCCGACGCGGATTGGTCGCCTAACCTTCCGCACTTCCTTTCCATCTTTAGTGCAGTGAGCGGAAACTGAAATCGGGGAGAATTTTAGTAAAGTTGCCATTGTTGCCATTGGGACCGTCGACGATCATCCGTCTTTCATCATAGCAAAAAAAAAAAAAAAAAAAAAAACCGGACAAGAAGAACAAAACAAGAAGATTGAATGAGCAAGCAAGAATCAGATGGTAATTAGTGTCTGCAGCCATATCCATCCATCCAGCTGCTCATTATTAACGAGGTAAACCGGCCCTGCACTGCAAAGCTCTCATATCAAAAAGGCTAAGACCCCGAGACCCTCCCGCAAGCCAAGGGCCCAGCGTCAGGGCGCAAACAAGCCTCTTTCCTCCTCCCAGGCTCTCCCACCGAAGCATCAACTGGGCAAACTGCCCCGGGCCGCAAAAGGCCCGTGCATTTTCCAATCCGTCCGGGTGTGTGTAGGCTTTCCCGATTCGGAAGTGGCAGGCAACTCAGCCGAGAGGACTAGGAGGGAGTAACTATGAGGAAAAACTGGGGAAGAACCAGTTCTGATGAAAATCCCCTCCTCTTTTCTTTCCCCCACCCCCCCCCTCTCCTCCTCCTCTGATCTTCAAACTCACTCCTCGAGTTTCTTCTTCAACCCCCTCAAGTCTATCCTGCAGGCTTGCGGTATAAATCTGCGCTGCTTTTTCAACTCATCTTTTCGATTCTGTTTCTGGCTGTTCTGCCGCTCTCTTCGCTACATTCTTTTCCCTCGGATTTCTCACCGGACGATGTTCCTCGAGGACTGAGTTGTTTTCCGACCTCTTGCTACACCTACAAACTTTTCACTGACTCCAGATGCTGAAGCGAAAACTCTTGTGGATCCTTCCATTATGAGCAATTATATTTTAACAAGTAACAACTAAATGCTTCATTAACAACAGGATTCCTCCTGACTCCTTTCGTGACCATCTATCATGAATGCGACGTGTGTATGCAAATGCTATGATATCATCAACAACCGAAACACGCTGGTATCACTTCGAGAAAATCAAGGTCGCTCGAAAACACAGCTAAACAATTATGCAAGAAGTACTGAACAAGAGAATCGTCAAGAACGTGATGCAATGCCTCTTCACCCCTTTCACAGGAGCTTCAGGCGTTAGTGGACATATATACATGACCCGGGGCGAATGGGCCTCGTAAGACGCCAGAGGCTTGACCTCTTGTCGTCTAGGATGGCATGGCCGCTTCCTCGTTGTCCTGCCAGCCCCATTCTCGGAGCAGTTGATTCACACGATAGTCGGTTGCCCAGCCAAGCTCGGTTTCTATTCCCTGCAAGAGGTGCAGGACTGCGCGTCTTTCAGCAGCATCAATGAGACACTGACCGCTAACGAACAACGGCTGGAGTGAATTGATGCGGACTGAGCCAGTCGGGCAGGCCATGGCAATGCCCACAATCTCCCGGCTATGAAAACGAATGTCATTTTCAATGGATCGATATGAGTTGAGTCTATCCGTGATGGTGCTTCGGCGGCTAGTCGACGCGTGTGGCTTGTTTATCAGGAGCAGAATCCGTGCCATGTGATAATGCTGCATAGCTGACGAGCACATGGGGATGCTGTACCAGATTTCAGACAATGCTCCAGTGTCCGCCTTTTCACCGTCTTTTGCTAATGGCTCAGTCCTGGCACAAGGCTGGAAGATATCTGGTAGCCCGTTGTACCATGCATCGAGCTCGGCCTCAAGTCGTATCCATCGCTCCAACAGCGCCTGTTGCGACAAGCCTAAAGGTCCGGTGTTCAGTGAGCTGGGATGATTCACTTGCACTTTGTCACCGGCACTTATGAAATTGACGATCTTGGACAGGATCCAAACCAGGCCGTTGCAAATCATGTCCTCTTTGATCACGTCGTCTCCGTCGAGATAGCCGGAGGCGTTTGTGTTGCTCGATCGGACAAAGCCCTGACTGTCGATCTGCAAGCCTGCTTCCGTCCACAGAACCAAGTCATCGGTATTCAACCTCGTCTGGCTCTCATTGATGACTATTTGCAGAACAGAGATTAGTGGTCTGCAAGTTGGAGCCTGAAGCTACTTGAGGGACTGACTTACAGGCAGCCAGATAATCTTGTCGGGCAAAATTCCAGAATGTTGCTCTCCGCGCCGTCGACAGACCAGGCCTTTTGCTGTGTTGTAATACAGATTCAGGGCGCTGTTCGACCGGCATCATCCCCACTTCGGCCACATCTAACAACGATTTTACGCCACTCAAATGACGGTTCCACGCCGGACCAGTAGCATCGAGCAATTCATATACAGATAATATGGCCGTCGCGGCGAGGATCTCGTCCGAGTGCACGCCCTTCGAAAACCGACTCTCAGAATACCGGCGCCGGCGTTTGCGAGGGTTGTCACTCTCCTCGCATAATTCAGCAGCCTGCCATTGACCGAAGGCCTCTGGGGTACTCAAAGGTGGGGGACCTTTATCCGGTTGAAGCTCCTTCATGAGGAGCTGGATAGCTTTCTCATAATACTTCGCACCTCTCCAGGACCAGTCTACGTGGCTCGCGCTTTGCTTGAGATAAGTTCCACTTGTCGGCACCTGTTCTACCTTGACTCGCCCGAGCTGTTTCGCTGCATATGCGCATGCAGCATATTTCAGAAGAGGATTCCGGAGCGCCCTCACAGGAATATAAGAGGCAAAGTAAGTTCCAACATCAAAAAGGTCCATCCTGTGCATTATCAGTATGTTCTTCTTTCCGGTGTAACAAGAGTTTTCGGACACCTACCAGAGTCCTGGTACTTCTGAAAAATGTCGCAACAAGAGTGCGACCTCCCTGTCTGTCTCGGCAGGCATATGTGACTTGTGTTCCGTATTTGAGCCTCGTGACACTGCTGACCTGGCGGTCAATGAAGAGCTCCTACGCTCCAGGGCATGATGCATGTTGGAATCCACAGGCGGCGAACGAGCTTGTGATGGATTAAGGAGGAAGTTGATATTATTATTACTGTTGGTATGATTGGAGGTGATTGAAAGAGGAGGCGACAGCTGAGGGGCTAGCACACTGCGCAACTGAATGGGCGACGGACCAGACGATGCTGTAGCCGATAGAGTGGTATAAGGAGAGGCAGCATCAACGGCTAGGAGGGACTGTTGCTCGACGCTCAACGGATTATACGACAGGCGGTCATGGGCTGCCACAGTGGAGAGAGCTTCCAGGCCGTTGTTTTCGGCATCGGCGGACGGCGTGCGCTGCGACCAGGCGCGATTCTGAGAGTTCGCTGCTAGGATAGCGGCTTCAGACTCGCCTAGGGCCGCTTCGAGGTCTTCAGCATAAGGATCGGAATTATCGACGAAAATGACTAGAAAACAATAACCATCAGACAAGTTGTTGCTAGGCGCAAAGCGGTCCCTCTCTGTTCCGCATGGTTCTCTTACCATGCTTCGGGATATCCAGCCAGACACTGTCCTCATCAAACGTGTTCTTGTATGAATAAAAGCCTTTTAGGCTACCTCGACCATTGGGATTTTCTTCGGCGCTTTTGTTCATGGAGGCATTCTGCTGGTGGCGGAAAACGATCCCTTCGCTAGGGCGACACTCCCTCGCACCTTTGCGACATTGCGAGCACTCCGGTTTCTGCTCGTCGCCTGATTATCGGAAAGCTCTTAGTGTTTGCGCCAGAAGATGGAATCGCCTTGGCGTGATGTGAGCTTACATTTGAGTTTCCGAGTGCGACACGTTAAGCTGAAGAAGGAAAAAAACCCCCGTCGCAGTTAGTCTAACAATCCTGAATCTAGCCGATAGAAGAGCAAATATATATATAATAGTAGTGAAGGGTAGAACCAATGGTGTATTGGGCGTGCAAGGTGCAGTATGATGAAAATGGATCACATACCAGCCTGTGCGGGATCGCATGCCGAATGGAAGCGAAGACGGTTGTTGAGCTGCAGCATTCGAGAAAAACAAGGTGGGCCGAGGAAGAGAAGATTGGAAGAAGGTCGCGACTGTGGTGGGAAAGTGCAGGAAATTGGATACAGGGCGAGTGGGACTAGCCCCGAAGCGAGCTAGAACAGTCTAGGTCCGAAGGACCGCGGAGGAGACCGAATGTATATCTGGGGGAGAAAGAAGAGGAGGGGAGTGGAGGGGGGGGGAGGAAAAAGGAGGAGAAGAGGGAGAGAGAAAATGAAGGGGAAGGGAAAGGGCAGGCGGCGCGAGGCGGAGGTAAGCAAGCAGCAGGCAGGCAGGGGGAGAAGAAGGTGTGTGGTGGTCAAGGGATGCACACACACACACACACACACACAGTTCGATAGTCAAAGCCACGAGGCAAAAGAAAGAGACGGTCAGGCCAGATCAGATCAGATCAGATCAGTTCCTCCTTCATTCGGTAGGTCTGGACTTTTCCATCCGTCTAATCTCGGGTGGAGAGAGGGAAAAAGCAAAAGGAAAAGGCGAGGGAACAGAAGGTCCCGTCGGGGAAAAGAGCAGATAGTCGGAGAGTCAGAGAGTCATGAGCCATCGATCAATAAGTTAAGTTAGGTTAGTTAGCGATCAGTCAATCCCCAAGGCAAGCAAGCGGGGAGAACCGACACGCCCGAAACTCTTGCCAGTGGCAGTTGTGAGTAGTTCTGTAGTGTTCTGTAGTTCCAAACTTCCAACAGCAAGCAGCGTTGCGGGGAACCCAATTTTCTCCCCGCGTGACCTTTTGTCCCAGTGACTAAGACAACTCCATCGTGTAGACTCGACGAAACATAACATGCCATCACGTCCACTTTCAATTTACTCCACACACTACGGAGTACTACGGAATAGGTACCTATACTTCTCTCTTTTTGTTTTTGTTTTTTTTTGGGGGGGGGCGTCCTCATCACCACCACTGACGTCGCTTCAAGGATGTGAAAGTATGCGGCGGGTATGTCGAAACGAATCGTATGTTCCTCTAACTTATTTCTCTGGGCCCCCGTCACTGCCCACTTTACTATAGGGTATAGTAGTTAGGTAAGTAGCTTAGCCACGCAGCACCTGCGGCAGCATCCCCCATCCGCCCCGTGCGCAGGATTCCAAGCCACCCAATCCCCGAATACCAAATCCCAAATGACCTCACCTTGTATCTGTTTTTTGCCACTACACTACACTGGGGGCTGGCTACCTTTACAACGCAAGACATTTTTTCCCTTTTTCTTCGGCTGACTCTAGTTGAAGAGGATAAGTGTAGACAAAATTCAGACCCAAGGATCTGCGAGGTAAATTCTCAAGAGAAGTCGGGTTTGTGGAAATTGTTCATTGCAACCGCGGACTCGCGCGGATGAAATAATAAGAGAATTGTCAAGGATATGTACAAAATTGGCCATGCTGAGGCATTGAGTGGGGCGAATTTGGATAGATCCCAGATTCACACCCTATCGAGCATGGAGAGTAAAGTACAAAAAATGAGAGATATGGTCAATAGAGACAGAAAATAGAAGAAGGGATGATTACACATAAACAAGGGCGAGGGCGTGGTTCGGTTGGGGGTACGTGTGGAGGGAGGAGGCCATCGTATTCAACGTAGTCAAAGCCTCGACCCGCAACCACATGTCACAAGAATTCAACGGTGATAGTGGCAACGACGATGATGATGCGCTTTGTGCAGAGCATGAGTAGCATGAAATGATGTGAGGAGGATAGATGGGCATCTTCCGATCAAGGAAGGATTAGATACGCAGCGGCAATTGACAGCAGAAATAGACAAATCATTAACGAGTTAGCTGGAAGGATCAAAATTAGTAGAATCAGACTGGGGTATATGGTGCTGTAGGGAAGTTCTTTTTTCATCTTTAGGGTCCCAAGAACGCCGTGCTGAAGGCTAGGTTTCAAAATCAGGGGTCACGGAATTCGGAGCAACGAGGTTGAGAAATTGGCTTGCGCTGGTTTCTTCGAGGTTCTTGCTGCGTCGTTCTGTTTATGTAGGCGTGGAAACGAAAACAAGGTACATCGTGCAGGGAAAAGTGCACACGACCGAGAGGCGTCAGCTCATATTGTTGGGGCGGCTGGGTTGGGCTGCTTGATCGAGTTGAACAGATACTCTGGAGGGAGTCTCCGCATGTTGGATGGTCGATCGGTTCCCACTGCCTGGGGAGCCCGCATGTAGCCCTGGCGACGGCGCTGGATCTTGTTGAAGATGACTCCGCAGATAACAATCAGAAAAACGCAGCCGAGTGCAAGACAGAAGGAGATGAGCACAACGATGCCGTTAGAGAGGTGTTTGCCTGCTTCGCTTGTTAGCTTATTGATATGTTCATGAACCGGTCGCTTGATACGCACCTCCACTGGTGTACGGGTTCTTATTCTCAAAAAACACTTGGGCCATGCTGCCTGTTTCGCCGTTGGACTTGGTAGACAGGATAAAAGGCGTCGTTGTAGTTCCATTGAACAAGGCAGCCGAGGCATTGCCGAAATCCGGGATCACCAGGTGGCCGGTGACGAGAAGAGTCTGATCATCATTGAGAGTACTAACAGCATCATGGTTCTTCGAAAGCGGAAGAATCTCAAGACCACGGATGGTAGTCCCCTTGTCGAATGCGTTGCGGACATACTGGAAGCTGGACCCATCGTAGGCAGCCAAGAAACTAGATCCGTTGTTGTAGGTGCCACCGAGCCAGAACTTGGACACCGCGCTGTTGGCAGGAGTGAATGCTGTGACGGTGCCTGGAAGTTCCGACGAAGAAGCGCCGGAAAAGGCAGTCCAGGTTTGACCCTTGGGTTTATATGTTGCGATCGCAGTCTGATTTCCGTTGACACTCAAGTTGCCAACCGCCAGTAGCTGCTTGTTGCTAAGCCATTCAAGGGCCAAAACCGTTCCATCCAAGCTGGCACCCGGTCGATTCCATTGCTGATCAGAGGTGTCCCAGAAACAAACACCAGGACAAGGAAGCGCTCCCGCAGTCTGGAACTGTCCTCCGAAGTATACTTCCTTCGCGCTCGGCCGCGCAGCAATTGCGTTGACTGACACACCATGGCCCGTGAGTCGTGGTGGCTGATTCTTGACGAACGTGTCGTTATTGAGATTGTACAAGACAACCCCATTCAATGTTGAACTGCCCACTTTCCCAGTAATATTACCTCCTGCGTAGAGGACTTCGTCGGAAATCATAAAGGTCAGGAAGGTAGAGTTGCTGTCGACACCTGCTCCGAGCCCGCTGATACTGCCATCGCGGCCGTCGATAATGGCGAAGTTCTCGATCACCGATCCATTAGTAGCGTTTGTGGAGAAGTGACCTCCAAGGATAGTGCGATTCCGACTAGAGCTTGTGTCAAAGATCCCAGTGAATGTTTCGCCGGTTGTGTTGCGATCAGTCAGCAGTGCTTCAAGACCAAGATCATCGTCATAGAGAAGGGCAGCAGCACCAGCAGCAGCAAGGCCACCAGTAGAGAGGCTACCCGCAAGAATCGTGGTGTTGTCAACCTTGGCGTAAGCGGACAGCTGTCCAGCAAACTCCAACTGACTGACATTCAAGTTTGGTAACCAATTCTTGCGCGACGGCACCCAGACAGCAAAGCCAGACACATTTGTGGACGACGTTTGTTCGAAGCTAAGTAACTGATCGAACTCGCCGCTGACGCCTACAACAGTTTCGTTGAGGTCCGCAGAAATGTTCAGCGAAAGAGCAACGACGCTGGTCACTCGACCGTTGACGCCCCCTCCGAGAGCAGACCATGCTTTAGTGCCAAACGAGTACGCTGCCACATAGCTCAGGCCTTCATTTCCACCGTCGGATGTATCGGTGAAATTACCACCGACGTAGAGGACATCGTCCAGTGTCGTCAAGGCGTTGACTCCGGAATTCAAACCACTTTTGGGCATTGCCGTGGCATTTCCGTCTTGTTCGATGTACATGATATTGTTGATGCTGGAACTCGAGAAGTTGCCTCCGACGTAGATAGTACTGCCATGGCTAGCTAGACTGGTGATTGATGCGTCTGAGTCCAGCGCAAGACCTGCTTGATCGATGGCCGACACGGAAACGTTTGTGCCCTTCTTTGTGGTCGGGTCGTACTCGTACAAGCCGTTCAGCTGGTCATCCGAAATGCCCGACACGGAGATTGCGACAAACTGAACTCGAGATGCCACCACAGTGATGTCGCCTTGGTTTGCTACTGGGGTGAGCTTCACACGCGGACGAAACGAGCTATCGCTTGCATCCACATGACCAGTGTAAATCGTATCGTATTTTTCGTATTCATTCGTCTGATAGATGAGAGTTTGAACAGGTTCCGAAGAATCGCTTGAGGCAGTGACTGTCACATTGACAATACCGCGAGAACTGCAAGTATCGTCCTGGTCGCACCCAGGCGTATATAATTTGATCGAGTAATTGCCTGAATGCTTGACGTCAGGCTCGAAGACAACCGAAGCTTCAGTTGCGTTCGAATTCGTAACTTCGGCCGTCAAGTACGCCGAAGAGCTTTGACCCGAAGCTGTCGCAGACCAAGACCCGGTACGTGTTGACTTTGATGGATAGCTGGAGTTCGCGCACGTTGGCTCGTTGAAAGCGTTAATCGCGTAGGCAAAGATGTCTTTCTCTGTCAGTAAGTAATCCATAGCTCCCTTGGTAGATCTGCACTCACTGTCTTCGAGAAGTTCGATACCATTCAAGCCGGCGCCTTTGCCATACCAATCCAGGATCTCAATCTCGAAACCACTCATTGCGGCGTGGTTAACAAACGTGAATTCACGATATTTCTCAGTCGCATTGCTGGAAAGCGAGCAACTCTGGTCGCAGTAGGCAGCGTTTCCCGTATCCAGATCCGTGTACGTCAAGTTCATGATTCCGTTGTCGGGCAGGCGTCTGAATAGGAACGTTTTTGTGCCCCGTCCCTCGTAGTGTGTGTTGTACAGTCTGAGCTTGGTAGGCGTATATTCAAATTGCATATCGGCGCGCCAGTAGCCAGGTGAGTAGTCATCCAGTAACCATGTCTTTCCTGCGCCATCCTCACCACTCGACTGACAAACGATATTGCGGGGATCGACAAAGCCACTGGTTGTAGAATTTGCATCGGAAGTGATTGTGGCATTTTGAAGATTGATGACCTGTTCACCCTTCTTGCTCGACGTAGAGTTGCCGATGCCATCAAAGAAGCCACCAAAGACAATATTACCATCGCTATCCTTCAAGATCGACGAAACCGGGCCATTGAAACCACCAAAAGTCAAATTGGACCAGCCGGAGGTGCCAACCCAGGCCACGGCGTTTGAGGTGTTGTAATAGGTGAAGTTTCCTCCGACGTAAACGCTATTGGTTTCTTGATCGCACAGCAGGGCAGAGACTGATCCCGAAAGACCTGATAACGATGTGACTTGATTCGTAGACGGATGATATAGCGCGACACCCTCCGATTTGACCCCGCCGAGGCTGGTGAAGTTGCCTCCCACAAAGATGCCTGAGAACGTTCCATCCTCCTGCGTAAATGGGCACATTGCGCGAATGCCGGCATTTGAGGTCGATAGAGTCGTAAGGATTCCGTTCGGAAGAGGGGTCAAGAGTGCTTGCGCGTCATTGTCTCCGGTCGATGTGTTAGTCTGCGCGGTATATTGGTAATATGTCAGTGCATCGAAGTCTCCTGTAAGCGCAATATGACCCAATGGCGAAAGATCCAACTCCGGTTCAGAAACGGACTGGAAAGTCAAGGCCGACGCGAGACTAGAAAGGAGTAATGGCGAAAGGCGGAGGCCTGCTGCGAAGCCAGCCGTCGCAGGCCCAAACAGTGAGGATCCCCTCATTG